ACTTGATTGTAAACAATTAACATCTGTTTATTTTATTATAACATCTGCATTAAATTTATTGCTGATGTTCAAATGTTGAAACGGAGCATTTCTTTAAAAATAACAGTAGCAAGCAAAACACATTTCTATGGAATTAGCAGGCATAATGCATGTGTTTATATAATGAATTCAGACACTTAAAATTTTTTACTCCTTTATTTGTTAGAGAGTACAATTCATGGTTCCTAGAATAATAAATGGTGATACTTGTGGTGGTTTTGAGCCTAAAAATATTTTTCCACATTTGACTGTTTAAATAATTTTATTTCTTGATTTATCCTCAAATTTAAATATTTTTATGTATTATGTGTATAAAACAAAATAAATGTAAACATTAAACAAATTCATTCATGTTCAAATTTAAAAGTATTCTGCCAATTTTGATTGTGTTTTAGTAAGGAAAAAATTGTCTATGCATGAACCTGAAATTTTTTCATCCAAGACATTCAGTTGGCATTAAAATATCTGTTATTTGTAGACATATATGTTGGCTTAAAGGGTAATAAAATTATTAAAAGGTGATCCCTCTAATGAAATTTCTTATTTATTATCAATTGAAATGTGTTTCGTAAAGTATGTGGCACTAGTATTATGGTTTCAAATGTAATCTATAAAGTGTACATTTTGAAAAACAATGGGAATAAAACACGCATAGGAAACATATAAATTTGAATGTCAGAAAAACTGCAGTGCAAATTGCCCTGGTAGTTTCACGAAGGTTTTGTAAGTTTTAGCTTGAATACACAAGATTTTTATTATGTTGGATTGCATCAACGAATAGCCATTGAGATGCCATTAATTAGTATTTTAAAAAAAATCTAATAGTTTGTACAGTTTGCTTTAGACCTATTGAACTGAGCACTTGAAAATTGTAAAAAAAAAAAGTACCAAAAGTGGTGTAATATCGGGTAGTTAAAATTCGAAGGCCGCTTGAAGCTAAATTATTTTATCTGGAACTTGTCAGATTGATTCAAGATATTCATCATTTAGTTGATGTACAATCCATCATTCCTGAAAAGTCATATGTGTAACTTTTTTCTTTCTAACTTTCTAGTAATGTAAAATTACTAGAATTTTAGTGAAAAAGTGGCAAACATTTCTATTTTGGCAATTTCAGAAAATAATGCATGTAATCATGTGATATAGTGATAGCCTTAATCAAGAGGACAGACAATTGTCAAAACGTTCTGAACTGTTGTGGGACCCAACAGAAACTTCTAACAAAAAATATGTTTATTAATTAGTTTCGAAGAAAATTTATTTATACTAAAATTACAATATTGCATAAATGATCTTTAAAATTCTGCAGAATATGAAAATGAGACTTTTTGTGCTTTAAGGAAAGTAGCTGCAATAAATTATGCCTTGTGTTCCCTAAACAGTTTGTTCAGCTTTGGAAGTAATTGTGTTTTCTCTGCTGCACAATAGCTTTTGTAGACCTAGCATAGACTTTCATGGCTATTACAGGATCAGGGGGGAAGGTGGGCGCATAATGCACCCACTTATAGCTTGGGGGGGGAATTTTTACACTAAATAAAACATAATTTGGGGGGGGATTTAGAATTTGCCCAAGAGCTTGGGGGGGGNCTCAAGCCTACTAAGTCGTTCAATCCACTGTTTTGAACATTAAGTTAGCAAGCAAGTTTTGTTTTAAATCAATTTAAACAAATTTTACTCACGTTATGTTTCATTGTCTGTTTTAAATTTTGTTTATTCTTTAAACTAATCGCAAGTAAGATAGCAGCAGCTGTTATTGACGTATTTATTGCAAAAACAATTAATTGTATGAATTAAACATAGTTTATTATTTAAATAGGAGTCCGATAAAATTTAATGTTAGGTATGTAGGTATACATCGTTGCGGCTCTCTGACTCAGCGGTTATTCAAGACACGACTAGTCATTCACGCATTGTTTTCATTCAGAAATTTAGAAAAGGAGTGGCGTTGATGCACGTCATTGTTATTGCAAAACAAATACCAATGACATAAGATATTTTGTTGGTGGGTGCAAAGTGCGAAGGGACTTTTTCTTTTATAAAAAATTGCAGAATAATAGTAACTTAAATTGCTTTCGCTCTCAGTCTAAAAAATTGAGATAATCGAGAGATGAAGTAAACTTTATTTAAATATTAAAAATATAAAATGCTTACGAAACAAAACATTGTTAATTTTTTTTTTTTATTGCCGTGTCCACAATACCTTAATTTCTATAGTGGATGCTTTGCTTAGACATATAAGATTAGCGAGATATTTTAATTTTTTTAAAATATATATATATATATATATATTTTTTTTTTTCCCGTTAGAATTTATTTTTTGATGGGCTCTGTAGTTTTTCCATTAAGCTAAATCATTCTTCTACAAATATTTAAATATAATGTAAACATATTTTGTGGTGATTTTTAACCTTCATTTACCTTAATTAGCAAAAGTTAACTAATACTGAGTTTTCTTATGCTTTCATTATATGTTTCTTTTTCAAATTTAGTTTCTGAAAAAGTAATTTTTTTTGGATAATAGGGCCTTAGTTTATTTTTAGCATTGTTCATCCCAGTCTCCACTGTTGACGAAAATAAGCAAAATAACAAATCTTTTCTCTTTAATGGAAGAGATTTTAGTCAAACTAAAGTTCAATAATTTAACTGAACCACTTAATAAAAATTAACAATTTGAAAGGTTCTTTTTCAGTTGAACTTTATTTAATCAGTGCAACAATGTTTAACTTTATATTTTCCAAGTTTCTGTTGCATAAAGAAATACACTATGCATTATGTTCTTAGAAATTGACCTTGCAGGAATAATTCTTGCTATCAATCATACCCAAGAATTTATTTCATGATACATACATACCTTTGTATACATTTTAAATTATTTTGAGTGTTTTATTTTATGGATGTTTTTAGTCTTCTATAATCCCATGCTTAAATTAGTTGAATGAGTTAAATTTGATTGTAAACAATTAAAATCTGTTGATAAATACTGCATTAAATTTATTGCTGATATTCAAATATTGAAACGGAGCACTTTTTTAAAACTACAGTAGCAAAGTAAACAAATTTCTATTTAATTAGCAGGCATAATGCATGTGTTTATATAACTAATTCAGGCACTTAAGATGTTTTACTCCTTTATTTGTTAGATAGTACAGTTCATAGTTCCTAGAATAATAAATGGTGATACTCGTAGTGGTTTTGAGCCTAAGATATTTTTTCCTTTTTTCCACATTTGACTGTTTAAATAATTTTTCTTATTCTCCTCAAATTTAAATATTATAAAATTTTTATGTATGTGTATAAAACAGAAGAAATGTAAACATTAAATAAATTCATGTTCAAATTTAAAAGTATTCTGTCAATTTTGATTGTGTTTTAGTAAGTAAGAAATTGTCTCTGCATGAACCCGAAATTTTTTCATCACAGACATTCAGTTGGCATTAGTAAATCTGTTATTTGTAGACATATGTTTGCTTAAAGGGTAATAAAATTATTAAAATGTGATCTCTCTAATGAAATTTCATATTTATTATCAATTGGAATGTGATTCGTAAAGTATCTGGCACTAATAGTCACAGTTATTATGGTTTAAAATGTAATCTATAAATTGTAGATTTTGAAAAACAATGGGAAAAAGAATCATAAAAAAACATAAATTTTGAATGTCAAAAAAACTGCAGTGGAAATTGCCCTGGTAGTTTCACGAAGGTTTTGTAAATTTTAGCACGAATACAAAAGATTTTTATATTATGTTGGATTGCATCAACGAATAGCCTTTGAGATGCCTTTAATTAGTGTTAAAAAAAATCGAATAGCTAGTACAGTTTGCCATAGACCTATTGAAACGAGCACTTGAAAATTGTAAAAAAAAGTACCAAAAAGTGGTGTAATATCGGGTAGTTAAAATTCGAAGGCCTCTTGAAGCTAAACTATTTTATCTGGAACCTGTCAGATTAATTCAAGATATTCCTCATTTAGTTGATGTACAATCCATCATTCCTGAAAAGTCAAATGTGCAACTTTTTTTTTTTTTCCCCTAGAAATAGTTATATCACTTAGTGGAATGAGATGGGGTATACATGTTAGCTCTATGGAAAATTTAAAATTACTAGAATTTTAGTGAAAAAATGACAAACCTTTCTATTTTGGCAATTTCAGAAAATTATGCATGTAATCATGTGATATAGTGATACCCATAATCAAGAGGAGGGACAATTGTCAAAATGTTCACAACTGTTGTGGGACCCAACAGAAACTTCTAACAAAAAATATGTTTATTAATTAGTTTTGAAGAAAATTTAATTTTACTAAAATTACAGTATTGCATAAATGATCTTAAAAAATTCTGCAGAATATGAAAATGAGACTTTTTGTGCTTTAAGGAAGGTTGCTGCAATAAATTATGCCTTGTGTCCCCTAAACAGTTTGTTCACCTTTGGAAGTAATTGTGATTTCTTTGCTGTGCAATAGCTTTTGTAGACCTAGCATAGCCTTACATGGCCATTACAGGATAGAGCCCTAATGTGCTAGGTGGTTGACTATGTTGGGTGATGTGTCTGAAAACAATATTAAATACCTGTTAATCAAGGTTCACAACCAGAATGAAATTAAATTCTAGCTGTGTGCACCGATAATTTTTCTGAAATCTGTCATCCTGTTCTGTTGTGATTGCCACAAAAAGCATGATTACAACATACTAAAGGTATTTCATTTTTCAGATATATTGAGAAATTTTTAACTGAATTAATATTGTAATCTTAGCAGATATTTTTAAATATGATAGTACAATGATTAGTTTTTATGTTTACATTTATGCATCCTAATAACACATTAGTTTAATTATAATAAAAATCGTAATTAGTGGGAATTTTGCACTTATAAGTATTTTAATATATACCTAATATTTTATTTTTATGTTAATTTTAATCTGTAATTAATCTTTTTATTGATTACCTTTTTTTCACCAGATTCATCTTGCCCTGATTATTCTTTTGATGCTAGCTTAGGGCTTGCAAACAGGGATCAAAACTCTAGCAGTTTAAATATTCTCATCAATTCAACTACGGGTAACAGTGTGTCTAGTAGATTTAGAATTCAGCTTCAGACTCATCCAAGTAAGCTTTCCTGAACACTATTCTTCCTGATATATCTTTAACAGGGATGTCCTTTTCTTATGGGGACAAGACAGATAACAGAACATCATTTAAATGCATGGCTTGTTTACTTTTCCAAAAGAAATGTCATTTCTATCAATTTAAAAGTTAATATCTATTAATCATGGTTGGCATGATTTAAGTCATGGTTAAAATTACTATTTAAACCTTTTTTAAAAAGAAAAGAAAACGTAAGCTTTAAAGTAATGATTTCCCACTCCAATCCCATCAGTTCAGTGAAAAAACTAGTTTTAAATTAAATCAAATGAGATTTTTTTTTAGAGAAAATCATTGATTTATCCCAGTCTATTTATATATATATATAGTAAAGTTATATTTTTTAAGGTGTGATTATTTTTAAAGACTAGTTTCATTAACAATATAGATTTTCTCCAAAGAAATAATGAAATGGCAAATTATTATGTTTCTAAATAGGTAATAAATAGACTTAAAGTGGATATAAGTAACATTTAACTATTAAATTATAATTTTCCATTAGTGGTATGTAAAATATTTTGTTGATAATAAGCATATTTTATCTAAACCTATTTATTTTTATGTTAATTTAAATGTTTTAAGTACTTTTTAAATCTATTAAATACATTGTCTGTGTTCACCAATATTAACGAAGATAATAATATTACCAATATATTATATACTGTTACAATATATTATATAAATAATATTATATACTGTTAATATGCTTTATAAGATGATTTACCTTGTAAATATAATAAAATCAAAAATATCTGGCGAACAAATCTGATTTTTTTTTAAATATTTTTAAAAGAATCATGAATTCTGCCAAACCTGGTGTTAATTAATAATAAAAGCCAAAATAGATCTTTATCTTGAAAAGGATAGCTATAGGAACATGACCTTTTAAGATGTGGTTAAAATGATTTCTTTGAAAATCATTCTTCACAAGATAGTTATATTGTTGATACTGAAATTCCCAACCAACCTGAGTTTAAAGATTTCTAAGTATTATTTAAATAATCCTTATTAAATTGTATATTTCTATTTTTTAGTCATTCATTTGTTTATATTTTTTATATTATATTTTTATTTGCTTATTATCGTATCTATTGCTAGGGAGAAATAGAAATGTTCAAATTTCTGATAGTTCGTCAAGAAGTCAAAGTTATCAAAATAATGGGAAAAGTGTTATAAACTTTGCTGTAGGAAGTAAGTTCTTTTAAAGTTTTTCTATTTATTGAAGTATTTAAAAATTGTGTCAAAATAATAATAATGTGTTAGTTAAAAAGTACTAATGTCTATATAAATATATAATTTCTATCTTAAGGTATTATAAGTATATTTTTCTCTTGTTCAATCCCTCGGTATAAAGTTAGATTTTAACTCTTTGTATACCATATTTTTTTAATTGGATTCGGAATTTCGAATTTTAATATAGAATTTGTTTTATATGTTTTGATCTATTCCTGAAAGTTCAAGAGGAAAGAGTTCTAACAATAGTAAAGAATGTGATTGATAATTTTCTTAACGTTGGGAGTATGTATTCTAGTAGTAACTTAATTTATTCTATGTTTGAAGCAGTTTCTTATAGTTCAAAAATTAGCCTGCCTTGTCCACAATAAAAACGAATTTATTTTTCAAGGTTTAATTAAAAAATTGTAATTGTTTTTTGAAAATTTAGAAGTTTTTTAAAAAGATAATAAAAATATTATTTTAAGCATGGTCTTTTTATTTATTTTATGAAATACAATTAAATATATCACGAAGTTACACAGCTCTCTAGACCAATTGTTTCTCAAGCTATAGCTAATTAAAAATTATAAAACTGTAAAATTTTGTATTTTCAAAATTTCGAAATTCCTGATTGAGGAAAATAGGGGTTCAAAAAATCAGAAATTATGTATTTTTCTACATCAGCTTAGTTCTATCTATAACCTATTACTAATCTAAGTTCCAAGACCTGACATTTTGTCTAATAGTTGATCAGGTGTGAAGTAATTGCTTTATTTTAAATTATTTTTTAGGGAGCCTTTTGAAAAATCAGGATGCATAGTGTTTTTAAAAAGTGCTTAAAGGTGCTTATTTTTGATTTACGTTTTTTAAAAGCTCTTGAAGGTGCTTTTTTATTCGAGGTTTGTAAAAAAAATTAAGCACTTTTTATCTTTTGAAAAAAAAATTTTTTCTTTTCAGTGTCGATTTTCGTTCTAAATTACAAAAAATTTACGATTTTTCGTAATTTTTCTCTGCAATATTTATCGGAAACTAATTACTTTATCATGATAATGTAAAGTTTTTGAAATTTTTTTTGAATTTTATTGATTTTTATGTTTATAAATTAGGAACTTTAAACCATATAATAAAAAAATTATTACTGCACAATTCCTAACTAGGATTTTTTTTTTTGAAAAGTGATTAAAAATATTCATTGAGTGCTTAAAACTTAAACGGTGCTTATTTTTTGTTGAAAAATCTGGCTATGCACTCTGAAAATACTGCTACAGATAATTCTCAGCCTTGCAAAGATATCAAATACCTTTCAAAATGATGACTAATGCTAATTGTATTTATGTATATGTTCCATATTTATTCATAGTCATAATTTCTTAAATACGTTTGAGCAATGTATTCAAGAAAAACAAAAAAATTATTATCAATACACTTTTCTTTACTTCAAAATTAATTGCTTCATCTATGCCTTTATATTTGTAAAATTATTCGGAATTTGTATTAAATAATGATTATGTTGATTAAAAAAGTAAAATTTAATATCAATGTTTATTCCAGGTTTGACTAGTTAATATGATTGAGTTTTTATTCTATTTTTTTTACTGTCAGGTCAGAAAAGTGGATCAACTTCCAACACAGATAACTTAATTGATTCATTATCTTCTGCACACTATCAAAATTCTTCTTTGTCTTCAGGCAGTGGCGCTGATAATTTTTATGAAACTTCTATTGAACTTCATAGTCATAACCCTCCTCCATATTCAAAACCTGGGATGCCTTATTTTGCTTCAACTTCCAGTATACCTGCAGCTTCTAAGTCAAATTCAGAATTGGCTCCTCTTCCTAAAATAGGTTAGAAATCCATTTATATGCATTTTAGATCATTAAATATGTATTTTTTCCCAAGTTAATAAATCTTATTCATTTTCAGTTAATAGTAAAGTTAAAATCAAATTTTTTTTTTTTTAATGTGTGAAGCTCATTCTGTTTTCTTTTATAGAAAATTTATGAAATATGATCAATTTTTATTTTGAGTGTATGAATATGTAAAAATTTCATTTTCATTTAGTAAAAATTTTAATAAATTATGTTTGATAAAATTGAAGTTAAATGTTTCAAAAATATTAACTTTTTGATTAAAAGTTTTAAAATACTTTTCCCATTCATCTTTAAATTTTTAAAGTTTTATTAATTAAGAATTATTTTGGAGTAGTAATTGCTATTTTTTTTAATTTAATATTGGGTAATCTATGATTATTGTAATATATTTTTGTTAGCTTACGATTTTACACTTTGAAAAATAGAGTAAATAGCTTGATTATTGAGACGTTCTGATATAGATTTAAAACTATTCTTGTATGTAATTAAAGAACTTGTGTTCAAATGTGCAACTGTATAATTTAAGACCACTTTTATTCTTTGAAAAATAGAAAATTAAAATCTTATTTTAATGACACTCAATGTAAAAACTAAAAAGCATAGAAGTCTGAACAGAAAATCTTCAGTTTTTATTCATATTTATAATTTAAAAAAATTTTAAATTCCAAAAATACTTTCTTAGAAGTTAAAGCTTTTGTCTTTTAATTAAAATAAAAACAATAATTTGAAGAATATTGATATATTTTAATGTTCATATTCAATGTAAGTGTTAAAGAGTGTGTTAAACAATTATTTTAATTTGCAGCTATTATTTATTGTGCTAAGAATTTCAATTATGTAACTAAGCCTGCTTTTTTTTCACTTCTGTTACAAGTATGGATGTAAAAATCATAAGAGTAGACATAGTGCTTTAGTGAATTGGTAACACTAAAGCTGCTGAGATACTAAATGTTGATTATTTATTGTTATGACTAAAAACAGGGGTTTGTCCAGGCCGAATTTACTACCGATTAGCGGTACCTTCACAAATTCACTTTAGAAAAAACGGTAGTTTTACAAATTCAACTTTAGGAAAAGCGGTAGTTTCACAAAATACTTTTTCTTAAAATTTTATTTTTGTATCCCTTAAGAAACGATAAATCCATATTTTTGTATTGATTTTTTAATAGTTTTTAATTTTTCATAAATTATGTCTAAATTTTCACAAAATAGGTACCTCTCAGAAAAACCTAGACAGACCCCTGAAAAAGATTTTAACTAGTTATCATGACATTTTAAATATCACATAAAATGTTTTTAATAGAATGTGAAGCTTATTTAAAAAGCTTTACCTTACATCTAATAACATTTGTTTGAAAAACTTAATATCTGAGATTAAATTTAATTTTTGTTTTAGATCTAACTAATATGTGCATAAAATAAAATTGTCAATGTTTCATAATCAATTAACTACGGAATATAGAAAAATAATGCAATATGTATTAATATAAATACTGATACTTTTTAAGTTTCCGTAAAAATTAAAAGAAATCAATTGATACTGCACATTTTGATACTGTTTGTTTTAAATGTAATATGATTTATATATCAATGCACAAAATTCTTTATCTTAATAATTTTTAAAAAAAGTTTCAGAAGAAGGTAAAACAAAAAATTAAGAGAAAATTTGCAAAAGATAAAAAAAATTTAGAAAATGAAGGTACAATAACATAAAAAACTGAAATTTCTAAATGAAATATTTTTTTAAAAAAATTTTATATTTATTTAAATTACACCACAAATTAATTTCATTGTAATGCTCTTATTAAGAGCATTGCAATGAAGGTAATTAGTGATAATAAGTACCATTGAACAGTTGTCTCATTACTATTCACTACATTTAATCTGAATTAAAAAAGCAACGAATTAAATTATGAATTTACTGCCTTGTAAAAAGAAAGGTTTTAGTTAAAAGAAATAGTTTAACTGAATGTTCAACATTGTAATTCTCTAATTGTTATTTCCTTTTCTTATAATACTCTGATTACAATTAAATGTAGTAAATGGTTACCAATTAGATCATTAGCAAATAAATGTTAAATTTAGAAAATTAAATTTTTAGAATTAACCATCTTAAATGCAATAGCATAATAAGTATAAATTAGTCCCTCAGCTCTGATAACTGGAATGTGTTTGGCCCTTGACTGGAGACCAATTTGACAGACTTAGCAACTCAAGAGTCAAACCATTTCTAAGCTATGTCGCTACCTCTGTGACAAAGTGTTTATAGTTTAATTTAATTGAAGTAATGCAACACTACCTTTTAGTATGCTTGTTTTTATGTATCTTACAGAACATTCACATGCATCAGCTTCTGTTTCAAGTAGTTCAAGCTATTCCTCTGTTCAACCAGCAAATTCCAACTATGTAAATGGTGTCAGAAAGCAAATAACTTGTCGTATTATACCTGAGACAACTAGCATACCAAAGAGGTTGCCTCAAGTAAATCCTGAACTCAGTGATACCTTCTGGTCAGCAAACAACGTTCCTCAGCGACATGTATCCTCATATCATTTGAATCTTCAAGAACCAGAAACAAGTGCCAAATCTCCATATGTTGAAAAAGGTAATCAATGTTAACTTTGCATACTGTGCTTAATGATTTATTCCCTTTCCTCTAAAAAAATTTTCCTTTATCCATTTTTGTCACTATTATACATCTTTGGAAAAAAAATTTTACAGTTAAGTCATTATTGTGAGTTGATGTTTATCATTTATTTTTTTTAATTTAGTACATAATAAATTTATCACTTGTTTTGCAGTGAAAATGAAAATCTGAAATGTATGCCGATTCAGATATTTCACATTTACTAAAAATATTTAGTTTATGTAGTAATAATGAAATGGTTGAAAATATTTTAATTTTTCCTAGTTATTCATATCCGTATTTGAAATTTGAGTTTTAAATAACTTTAAGTGTTAAGTTATTTCCCAATGAATAAAGCCCAACTTATGATATTTTGTAAGTTCCCAGTCATGTTTTCATTTGTAAAAATAAAATTTTAAATTGGGGCTTCTAAATTCTGTAATATTTCCAGAATAGAAACATTTATTATTTCATGTAATTAATGTTTTGGTAGGTTTGTTTTAGGCAGTGTACTTGCTGCCTTTCAATCTACCCTAGCAATTTGGTTAATCTGCCAGAAATGGTCATTAGCCCCCCCCCCCCAAAAAAANCCGAAAAAAAAAAAATTAACAATATTCTCTCCCTCCAAGTGGATCTAAATACATCTATCAGTTATACAAACTGCAAAATAAGTTCTGAAAAAAATAATAAACTACAAATACATGTAAGTAACATTAAGTGATATTTTGTTTTTCAATTTTTGATCTTTAGTGAGCGAGACATCAGTTTTAACTTTGACCTAGTAGAAAACTAAGGAGTGATGAATAACTCCTGCTAAACATAGAAAGTGAGGGAATTACAGACTGTCTTGACTGATGTAAATAGTATCCCTTTCCTTTACAGTCAAACTTCTTCATAGTTAGCAAAAAAAAAATTTTTAGGCAGATATAGCAAAATTGATTGTTCATCAGTGTAGTTTAGGGGAAAATTTGAAGGGAAAAAAATGTATAGGATTTGCATTTTGGTGTATATGAATATTATCTTTTGTCTTATTAAGTATGTATGTTCATAGTCACAATAGTATATTCAAAAATCGTAATACTGGATTGATAGTGTGCCTAATTTTAATGCCTTGTATTACATAGGTAAAAGACTTAAGAAATACTTTTTTATGTTTGGCACATCTATTTAAATTCTGTGTTATGTATTGCATAGCTACCAACTGTTCCGATTAAATCTTATTTTTTCCGAAAATACAATTATAGATCAAAACATTTAGAATTTTCACTATTTTAGTGTTGCTTTCTTTTTTTAAATCTTTGTACTGGATTTCTTCTTGACCAATCCACTCTGTGTATTCCTGGATGAAGCACATGTAACCAGTAGTTTACTAAGTTATCTAAAGTTAAAATCTGTGTGAATGACCCAAAATAACGCAAATGTTTATTTCTCTACTTTGTCACAATGCAACAGTTGCAGAGTTTCAAATGGTTTTAATCCCCAACCCAAAGTCCACTTTTTTAGAGTAAAGTGCTTTTTTAAATGGCATAAAAATCAGTTTAAAGAAGTTTTTCAAGTACATTAAAATCTCTAACTTTGGTTGCCAATCTCTCCCCCATTGTTCACTTCATTTGAAAGTCAATAACATAGTACTGTTGTATTAATAGATCAGCACCATAATCTTTAAACCTAGGGATCATTCACAAATTAAGATTTTCCTTGTGAGTTTAGAAAATATTACCCTACTTGTTTTTGCATTTGTTTTAAATTTTAGTGCAAAAAAAAAAATATGTGGAATTTTATAAAGGTGAATTCAGGGTCATATACTTTACTATTTTTAGAAGATAAAAACAAATCTTGTATAATTAAGATTCTTTATTTCAAAAATTTGAATTGATCTCTTAGCACTGTTTCTTTAAAATGATTTTGATCATATAATTATTGATTATAGAAAAAGTTGTCAAATGTGAGGAGGTGTTATTTAAATTGAAATGTTAAGCTACAATTGTAATTAGCAAAATTCCTCAAAAAAAAATTTTAGGTTCTGATTATAACATACAAAATACATTTACAAAAAATAGTTTCTAATCTATATTTTATTTGCTGTAATAACTCCTTAAAATAGTTATATTTCTAGTTTCAAAAATATGCTGTTATAGTGCGAAGTTTTTTTTCCAAAACTGTTGTAGCATATTTGAAAATCTGAGATAATGAAGTTTGGACTTTAGGGACTGTCCTCAACGTATTATGGCACCCTATTTATCTTGGTGTGTTTGTAGTTGTAAAAGTTTTATATACACTTAATTTATTTAAAGTGAAAAATTGATTTTTTTTTTCATTTCATAGGGAGATTTTTAAAAAACCTTCACTTATATAATATGCATTATTAGTAAATGCAGATAAAAATCTTACAGGATTTATCTTTTGTGATTTCAAAGTTTGATCTCATTTTTATTTAAAAACAAATTTTTAATGATGCAATAAGCACAGATTTGTCAGTGATGAATTTTTACGTCATTCGTACAGATTAAGATAATAAAAGACATAAATTGTAAACTTAAATTGTAGATACTGATGAAAAAGAACACTAAAAAAATTTCTGCAGCAAGTCTTAAATGTATGCAATCTCAAGTTTTGAGAACTTACACAAAGATTGAATGAATTTATTTTTATTCAGTTAATTTTTTTATAAATTTAGCAACAGCTTGATACAAGCTGAAATAGCAGTGTCAAAAATTAATGTTGTTTTGAAAATACATAAAAATAAATTACTGAGTTAAGAAACTTATTATTAAATTTTTAATTAATAGGATCCAGTATCTAAAAGAAGTCTTAACTGATTTTTATATTTATGTAAAGAACACTATATTATTGTGGTACCGTAATATAAATAATTATACTCTAAGTGTCAAAATTTATATTATAGCACATCAAAGTATGGGATAAATCTCATTCTTTTTTTTAATATAATGAAATGTCATTCAATCCATGTTGCTACAAGTGGTTTAATCTTAATTTATTTTTTATGTGAAAATTTTGTTTCCCTTAAAGGAATAAAATTTGTATTGTTAAAATTTCATTTTTCTTTCCATATTTGAATAAACTTTTGTGATGGGTTTAATTTATTTTCAGAATTTCATTTGTGTGTTTGAGAAGTACTCATCATTTATGCAATAGCTTTATAAAAACTGTTTTCTTACATTGCGTAAATAGCATTTGTCATTCTCTAAAATGCTTGGGTGTTATATACAATGCATAGGAGGGCAGTCTGTAATAATTACCATGTTTCATACTTTTCCAGTAACAGAAATGCACATAACTTATGTTTAATTTACATGTTTAAATGTTTAATTTAGGTTTCAAGCGCAAATCATCTCCAATTTTGAACAATTCAGATTATTTGTCAGCTCCTTCATCAAGCTCAAATTGTGTAGAAAAAGAACAAAGTATAAGTAGCCAGAGTAAGAAAATCAAAGCGTCTGCTAGCCCATCCTATGTAGAACTTTCTGATGATGATGTACAGATAATAATGCCAGAGACAAGTAAAAATATTATTGTAGTTTAATTATATATATTAACCCTTTCGCACAGACTCACATATACGTGCCAGCAAGAAACGCGCTCACTTCCCGGCTGACACACCCGCTTGCCAGAGCGTTTTCTCGTTCACCCCCCGGCCATCACATATTTGTGCCAGCGTTTCAGAAGGTTTTAAAAAATTAAATTTCTTCCAGAAGATGACATTGTATGTCCATATGGTTTCAGATACATGTAGATTTGACCTTCTACTCAAGATGAGAGTACATTCACGTGGTTTTGAGGGGGAAGGAATGTTTTATGACGGCTCTTTTAGATTCGCACGTGGTATTTGTTTACAGTAAGCAGGAGGTGTTTTTTTCTTCGCTGCTTTCGATTTTTGGTTTAGTTTTTAGTGGATAGGTGGATCTTGTCGATCCCTGTTTTAAAATTTTTTCATTCTAAAAAAGATCATAAGATAAGTCAGATATGTTAAATGATAAGTACATAATGAAAATAAAATGTGTGAAATATATATTTAAACAAGAAATAACTCAAGTAAACAAAGTATCCATAGAAATATATATAAAGCATATGTCATTTAAACTTAACAGAACAGTATTAAACAATGCATCGATATTTCGGTAATTTCATGAAATTAAGCTTACAACAAAAAACCTTCCAGCCCTGGAGAGACTGCTGGCCTCAGCAGTAAACGCGCTTTTACGCTTCCTGTCGTGAAAGGATTAAATAGAGGGACTGCAGACCTCCTATTTCGACGCCCGTCCTTTTTTTCTTCCCCTTAATCATGTCATTTCTGTTATTCCCCCTTTGAACATAGTGACATCCAAGGAAATAGAATAATGGCTCAAGGTCAAGTATTGCAACTGCACCTGTTTTTTGATTCATTTTGAATGGGGTTTAAGGAGGAGCAGAATGTGATAGAACATGAATTGTTTTTAGTACACATCAGCTTCTGTGTCAGCTTGCCAATTAATGTTCAACTGTGATGGAGGAGAAATGAAATCGCACTGCATAAACAGAAATAAGATTGTGATATGTGCGTTTTTCGTTATGATTTCAATTAATGTTTTAGCGAAATGTTGAAACCAAAGTTAAATTCTAGATCGTACTAATAATCCTGTGCCAAAAATCATGCAGACATTGTCACAAAACGATAGTTTTTGCAGGAAGATTTTTCATTTGGGAAGTAAAATATTTTAAATTTCTTTTCTGCAGAAATTAAACTTATTTCTATTTCTTTTCCCCAGAATTGTATGAAAAATAAGGAATGATGAAGTTAATATTTTTGGTTTTCCTTTTCTCCAGAAAGTTTTGAGATTTTTTCATCCAGAATTATATGTTTTTTGGTTTTTTTTTTATATATATACACATGGGTTATTTACTATCCCAATATATTTCTGACAATATGGGGAAATCGAATTGATTCTATATATTTTTATTTTATTTTAATTATTGCTATTGATTTCCACATAGTTTTTAAAATCTGATATTTTTAATAAGAAATTTTTCCAACAATCGAATCTCTGGACGAAATGGGCAATTAGTAACTCCTTTTTAAAGAGTCTGATTCTCGTAACTTCACCAGTGATCTTTTTCTTGATAGTTACTATTATGGATTTCACAATTTTCTATTTTTTTAATATGTGGTAATTTACAAAATGCGAAAAAGGAAATAATTCAAGTGCTTTCTTCTCATACAAATTGCGGGAATATCACCCCTCATATTAGAATAAAAAATATTACATACTCAAAAAAGTTATATCCACTTTTATTTTATGGGAAGAAAAAAAATTTGTGAACCTGTTTCTATTACTTTAAATTAGTAACTTATATATCTGCTAATAAAAGTATCCTGCAGAAAGCCAGAAAAAATTCTGACAAAGGGTTAATAATTGTATTAATTTTAAAATTCAGTAAATAATGGAACATTAAATAAAATCTAAATTTTTTTTTTTTTAGCGTAGAAAAATTTCTGTGCCAAAATGACCTTTTTTAAGGTATACATATATATAAAATTAATATTTTTAAATTTTATGAAATAGTTTTTAATGCAAAAATATTTTATTTACAAAATGCAGAATTTGGCATCAAAATAATTACCGTTTTTAAAATTTTTTTATTTGTTTTTCGACAGTTCTAATTTTCCTTTTTTTTTCTCCTCCCCCCCCCCCTTTTTTTTTTNNNTTTTTTTTTTTTTTTTTTTTTTTTTTTTTTTTTTTTTTTTTTTTTTTTTTTTTAATCCTTTCCAAAAAAAATTTCTGAATTTTGGCTGCTGTCCCTGTAGGTATATTGCAGTAGTTTGGTCTTTGGTAATTTTAAAGTCGTAAATTAAAGATAAATATTTAGTATGTTATACTCTTATTTGCATTTTTAAAATTCTATTATTTGAGGAAGAATTGAAATTGACAAAATTTAGGTGGTATGTAATATAGAGAAAATTATTGTTATAAGTTAAACAGGTAGTTCTAAATTCAAAACTAAGGGTTGGGTCCTATGATTTTATTTGTCATTTTTGCTGCAATTTTATTTGTGTTTCAATTGAAATGTCTTCAGCCTTCTAATTTTATTAGAAGTATTATCAGGATATTTGAAAATATATTAGAACTTCATTTATCAGATACTCAGTCATCCGAATACCTCTGTTAAAAATGAGCATTTTGGTTGAATTCGATTGGTTGTTTTGGTTTTATTAAAGAAATCTGAATTTTAGTACTTTCATTATTCTGTAATTTAGTTTGTGCATAACTTCTACTAAATCTTTCTAAAAAGGAAGCATTTTGTGTTAATTGTGCAATATATATGTATCTATATAGTATATTTAAATGCATGGAATCTAGAAAAAACTTCACAAAGATTCCAAAAAATATTAATGAAAGAAACTTGTAAAATCAACTAATGGTTTAAAACTAACCTTTTGCACCTATATTACTTAATACTTTTTTGACTAATTTAAACACTAAATCATTTCAACATCATAGTATAGTATTTTTATAAAAATTTCTAAATTTTAAAAAATCTGCAGACTACTTATAAAAGACAGGGATGAGATTCTTCCGCGGATTTCCGCTTTTTTTTTTCAGATTTTTCCATTTTTCCCGCTAATTTCCGCTGAAATTTTTTTTTGCTCAAGTTAAAATATTTTATGAGGAATTTAATTTTCCGCGGAGGGAAATTATTGAAGTCCCTTTTCCTCCCTCTGAAGTTTCTCTAAAAATCATTTCCTTGGCATAAAACTGGTTGACCTTTATACAGGGATGAGATTTTTTTTTGTCTCTCGAATTTCAGCCTTTTTATCAAAAGCTCCGATTCTCTAAAAGTTTAGTTTTTTTTAATAAATATCCCGTTTTTTTTAAAATTCAGTCATTGAAGTAAAATAATTATATTTATTTACGATTTTCAAAGATAAACAGAAAATTCAACCTACGCTCTAGCTACTAACCCTTCCGCATTTTTACTTATTTGAGCTATTTTCTCCGATTTCACGCACAGAAAATAAGATTTTTCGTATTTTTTATCCGTCGGCTGGATAGCTCGTATTTTCATAATTCAGGCGTCGCTGCTTCTTGTATTCTGGCGTGAAAACAAACAAAAAAAGAGGTGGATTTGCGGTGAAAATATTTATTTGCTCATTCAATTAATCTTGTAAATTTTTATTTATTATGTCTAAACAAAAACAATACAAACGAGCTATTAGAAATCACAAGTCCAGACTCTGCAAATATCTCTATTTTTATTCACGCGATTTTAATATCAATCATCGAGTTTCGTATTTTCCTGATTTGAAAGTTGCACATTGCGATTCATATTTGCGCTATTTAAATATCGTATATTATGATTCTTATTTACGACATTTAAAAATCCAATATCGTGTTTTGTATTTATGCATTTTTAAAATCTCGATTTTATTATCAAATCTCGATTTTCGTATTTACCTGATTTAAAAGTTGAACGTTGCGATTCTTATTCAGGCGATNATATATATTTTAATATTTTATTTCCTCTTTTTTACTTTCTGACTACTCTCATCCCTGAAAAGAGGTAAAAGTTTTGAGTAATGTACTGAAGAGGAATATCTTCTCCTGATGCGACATGAAAGTGTAAAGGGTGCTATCAGATGCCAGTGTTAGAAACAAATATTTCTAGACTTATTTGATAAGACATTTCTTGAAATGTTATGCTTAAAACTTGCTTAAACTATGTATAGCACTGTTTTTAAAAAAAATATAAAATCTAGATTTTTCAGTGTTTAATGAAGAAAATAGAGCTTCCACATTTCATGGGGAAAAGGAAAAACCTGGAATTTGTACGGAATTATATTTTGACTCTGAAAAGCTAGAAATATTCTGGGAAAGTATGTATATGTATGTATATATGTATATATATATACACACATACACACCCAGAAAATTCTTGCATCATTCCTGGAAAATTACCCATCTTAGAATTGTCAGTAATCTATTATGGAGATTAAATTAAATTAATTTTAACATCTATTAAGATTATTTGTTGGTAGAAATCCCACATTTTAGTGAAACTTTTTGATGTTTCCATTCTCATTCACTGATAATTGTTTGCTCACAAAATCGAATACTTGAACTAAAAAATAATTTTAAAAAATCAGTTTTCATTGCATGGTATATATAATAAATGGTCTGGATTTACACTGAAATTTTCATGAAATACCTGGAGTCTGAGAAATAAAGAATTCTGAAATTAAGTGAGAACCAGGAGAAAATAGTTTTAAAAACATTGGGTAATTGAAAAATCAGGATCAGTAACAATGTCCCGTTCCAATCACTTTGTATAATCCAATACTTACTGTGCATATTTTTCTTGTCCAATTACAAAAAATATGCGAAGTATTCAATCTTAGAACATATTATTGTTAAAGATCGAAAAAGAATTTTAATTCTTTTTTCCCTTTGTTTATGCCAGGTCATTCATCTGCTTCTGGTAGTTCATTATCAACTGGAAGCTATCATAAGCCTTCTGTAATTTTAGATGGTAGTTTAATTTTAGATGGTAGTTTAAGCTCTTCAATGCAAACTATCTCTGAACCTGGTCGACAGTTGGATAATCAAAGCTCTCACCAAACTACTCAAGACAGTTCTTCAACAATTCATAATCCTCTTTCTGCTGAAGAATTTGCACAGATGTTGGATAGTGTGTGGCCTGATCTGGATGAAATTGCTTCTACTAATTTAACTGCTAATGATACTTCAGAAAGCGATGAATCGTCTTCATCCTCAATCATTTCAATTCATGAGGTACTAAAAAATACTCCTTCTTTTGAGAAGAGCAAACCATCTTCACCTATATTGGAGGAAGGTAATTACTCAACTTGTTTAAAATTTAATCAAGAGTTATTTATTTTGCTGCATAATTTTTATTTGCATATTTTGTTTCAGTTATTAAGTCTTATCATTCATTTGCAACTTGGTACCTCAACCTTAATAATGTATTTTAAGTGAGTGAAAATGAAATAAGATGGAAACCATTATAACCCCTTTTTCAAAGTCAAATCATTGCATTATAAAGCATTAAATTATTCGAACCATCTTTTGATGAAATCATCACAATTTTAGATTATTTTATTTTTAGAGATCAAATTTTTCAAATATTAAAAAATTTGATCCTTTTTCTTCATTGGATTTTTTAAAAATTTTTATCTCCTAAATTTTAAAAATGTGCAGTTTGTTATAGAAATTCATCTTCAACCCTCAAACACTATGGTTCTATTTTTCATTTGTAGTTTCTTCTCTTCAACTGTGTTTTCTAAAGAGTTCTTATGTTTGCAAATTCCTTTTAATTACATAAAAATGCATAATGTTTTTAGACTTATATTAATAAAATTGTCCTAAACTTATAATTGAAATCTTTTGCTAAATTAGCATGAATTCTAATTTGTAAATTTTTTTTAGTTTTTCGTATCTTCAAGAGATTTTTGTATTTACTTCAGGAGATAGATTGCAAAAATAAATTATTCCATTTTGTAAGAGCTAAAAATATGTTAATACCCTTATTATAAAAATTAAAAAAATTATCTATTGAAGATATAACATTACCATTTTACAAATATTTATTTCTTCTTATTGTACAAAATGTTATAAAACAAATTAAGAATAATAGTTTTTAAAACTATGTGTCTGTAATGGAGAAATAATATCAAATATGCTTTCAATTTGTATTTATAAAAATTACTTTATTAAGACTTGGTGAATTTTCTTTTTGCAGTTTCCAATGATATTCCTCCGCTTATCACTCTTGATAGCAGTCCAAAAGATAGTGAAGTAAGTTTTTAATTTCCTCATATTTCAAGCATTTTCTGTTTCCAATTAGACACTATATCATCTCTGGTGTGCTTTTTTCTTTAAAAAGAATCTATCCTTTTTGAAATTTTTATTCAATTTGGAACCATACAGTCAGTTTGCAATTAAATCTTAGTTTTGGGCCATTTTTATGCTATTCTACTAAAAAATTCTAATTAGAATGTGTTATAATCCAAAAGTCAGATTGCTAATAATGCAATGCCTGAAATACTAAATCTTCATTTTGCACATAATCATTCGTTTAATCATCAGCATGTAAAGGATATGAAACATGGGGAAAAAAGAAAATATTAATTGAGTTTAGTATAATTGCTTAAAGGAACTGTGTTTTATCGATTACCTGTTGCCAAAAAAAGTGAATTGCCTTCTCTATTAATTTTTGAGTAATAAAATTTAAAGTTGGAGTGCTTCGAAGTGGAAATTAGGTTTGCAAATTACCGCCATATTACAACTCAGGCTTTATTGTATTTAATGATACACGCTTTAGGATTTTTTATAGAAAAAATTAGGTCTTTACATTTTCATATATTGGTTAGGAGAAATTAAGTTATTAACAAAAAGAACTCTGACAATAGTTCTACTTTTGGAAGCATATAACCATACAGAAAGGAATTTTCAAACTGAAATATCAATTACTGTGAATACAGTTTTAGTAGATAACTGGGGATAAAACTTTCTATATCAACAAAATCAGGCATTAAACAAAGCAAAAATTATACTGTAATGTTATGGTATGTACCATTTATACTGTATCAAAATATTTTTACTTAAGTTAATGATTTTTATTAAAAAAAAGTGTTTTAAATCATGACAACCCTGGTATTTACCATTATTTAATTTTTAGGTTCTGTTACATTGATTTCTCTTGAAATCAGATTTGCAATGTTCTGAATTTGTGGTACTGTGTACTATTTATAATTTATACTATTTCTTTTATTATGTGGTATACTTGAAAATTATGTTTTATATTAATAGGACCTTAATTGGGTAATTTTAGAAATTTATCAGTATAGTGTGTATTAAAATTTTAAAATAAATCTATTCAACTAAAAAGAAATTATGATTTCCTTATCTGTTATCTATTACAGAATTTATTTATTTTAAAATAGAAATTAACTCTTTTCTGCTTATAATTAAGAGTCAATGCATAATATTCATTTTATTTTTTCAGTTGGAGAAGTTAAAAGCCAAACAAGAAGTTGAAAATGTTAAAGAAGATTTTAAAAAACTCATAGAAGATGAGTTAATCTGTAATATTTGCACAGAGGTTTTGATAAAGGTATTAGTTTATTTTTTAAATAAAAGTTAAGATACGTAATATGAGGTTCCATTCATTGTTATTTAAAGAAAAACTGAATGTCTTCTTGATAATCTTGAATGAATTCTTGATAAGTTGAAGGTTTTTTTTTTTTTTAAGATTATTTTAATCAAATGTAAAGTTTAAAAAAAACTACACATTTTTTTTCACTCTTAACAGCTCTACAACAAAATGTAATGCGTGAATTACAAAATTTTTTCTAAATCAATAATGTAATTACCAGTGTTTAGAGTTATATTTCAATACCTTTTTGAAATTTTAAATAAATATAGTTTAAATTTTTAAGGAAAAAATTTATAAATCTTATTACTAAAAGCTTGATAAAAAATAATAAATTTTCATTTAGACTTGAGCTTTTAGTTTAAAACATTGCTAACATATACAAAATCTACCAACATAAATTCAAAGAATTCTGAGGCAAACTTTTTTTTATAATGTGTGTTAGCAAGAAATGAATGTTTTTCAGAAAATCCATAACAAATGCAAAAAAATTCTGATTACAAATTTAATATTTCAAAATTAGTTCGTGAAAATGAATTTTATTTGACTTAAAAAATATTTATTGAAAAATTCTCGAAGCATAACAAACAAAATTAGTTTTGTTTTCAAGACTTTATTTCCTGTTTAATCAACATACGAAAAATAACTGACTTCATTTCTAAAAATCGGAGATCAAAAGTTAAAATGGTTTTGAAAAGCTACTGAAGTCAAATTTGGTTTATAGGAGCCGTGGTATCTCTGGTGGTAAAGCCTTCTCTCAATTACGTAAACCTGGCTCTAATCTTAGCAGTGGCTAGTTGATTCGAATTTTGCCCGCCACAGTGCTGATATAAAATATCCTCGGTGGTAGAAATATCATTGGTCCTTGCAGTCAGTTTAGCCCTGTGAGGTTTTGGTGATGGTTTTCCCCATGTAAGCCAAATGCCCTTTAGTTCCATTAAAATGGTCCCCCACAAAATCTGGATTGAGTTTAAAATTACAAGGCTACAGAGATGAACATTGGTAGTCGTAAACTCAATCGGTTCGGCTGTTCAACAGTTATAAAATAAAATATAATTAATTAAGTCTAACTTTTTGGCAAAATTGCCCGTTTTTACATAATCGAATAACTTGAGTTATCTCTAAGTAACTAGTTGTGATGAAAATTATATAAGCATTAATATTTTGATTTATATATAAAAATGACATCAGAGAATCTTAATTTGTTAATTCCAAAATCTCTTACATTTGATCATCATTTAAATGCCTATTATGTTAAAGAAAAGATTTTAATGATATAATTAGTCACAAAAATAAATCCTTTGTTTTGATGCAATGCTGAGAAGGGACTGAGGGTACAAATGAGGGGTTATACTTAAGCAATTCACTACAAACTTTTCAAGTATTTATCTTTAAAAAAAATGCTTATGTGTAAAAAGTGTCCATTTATTGGTGTTATTTTTGCCTTCCTTCCTTAGCCAATAACCTTGGGATGCTCTCACACATTCTGTAAATTTTGTATTTCTGAATGGAAAGAAAAGAAAAGGCAGTGTCCAATGTGTCGAGCAAGTATTAAAACTGAAACACCTTGTCTATTTTTGGACAATTTTATAAGCAAAGCTGTGGAGCAATTAGATCCAGCTAGTGTTGAAAAAAGATTAGAAATAATAAAATGTCGAGAGGAAGAACAAAGTATGTTCATTTTTAATATTTTTTAATCTATTGTTCTTAAGTGTTCAAGATTTCTAAACTCTCCTAAGTTTTCCTGATTTCTATTGTATAATTATAGTAAGCTTTTGAAAACCATGAAAATTATAAAATATTATGTATGTCATTATGACAAGCAAATGTTATTGGGGTGCTATTTATATTAAATGCTGGTTAGCCATTCTTAAAAAAAAATCTTGGTTTTGGATATTTGAAATATTAATGGAACAGATAATTCATCAAGAATTTCTTTCTTGAAATGTATAATTATATTTTTCATATTTTTAGTTTTCACAAAATAAATATTTGCTGAAGAGAGACAAACTGACCCTATATTTTATGTTTTTTTTTTATTATTATAATTTAAGTTATTTTGTAATTAAGTCTTTCATTGTTTGAGTTATGGGGGTTAATTACATTAAGAAAAGTAGAAAAAAAATTCTAAGTTTCATTTTTGAAAGAAAAAAAAATAGATTCTTTGGGTAGAGATCTTATTTTAGTCTTGTACAAGATTTATTTTGTCGATTGCTATTTGAAATTTTTGTGACATTAATTGAGGGTTTTTAATTGAAACTGATTGATTTTGAAATAGAAGGCTCAGAAAACAGTCGACTAACCTTTGATAGCCTGCCTTTTAACAACAAATAAATAAAAAATTAAAGAAACCAACACTATAAAATAAAAAAAATTTTATTGATTTTTTTTAGTTTTAAATTGCACTAATTGTAAGCTTGGGAATAATAAATTGAAAGGCTGCATCAAGGATCAATCTTTATTTCCTACTGTCATTGTTTAAACTTTATAGCTAAATTACTCAAATGTTTCTTAAAACCGTAATTTGTTCGGTTTTTTTGTGTCCGGTTTGTTTTGTTTTTTTTTAAATTTCATTTCTAAAATTTTGCGATTGAAATAATATCCATTTTTCAATAAATACATTAAATGTCCCTGCCATATAATATTTGCTTTGCTCTACGTTTAACTTAATATCTTAGAGATATATACTTAATTAAACAGTGGCCAAGCACTCTGAGATTATGAAAAACCTAGAATTCTCAGGGAAATTTACCTTTGACTTCGAAAGATTTTGTGATCAGCAATTTAAGTTTTGTTTTTCAAATTTATTTCAATGAATTATGACTCGTAACTGTCACATTGTAATGTTACCAGACATATATTTTAGTAATTATCCTGCGACTCTTTCATTTATTGTTATCAATTACATTTTAATAAATAATTTAATGTTACTTTTATACATAACTCAAAGTAACAATTGTTTTTCTTAAAATCTTATAACATTTAAGTTATAAATTTAATTGAAAAACATTTCTCTAAAGCTATTTTATGTGAAAATTGTATGCATGAAATAAGAAAAAAATTAAATTTTTTCCTTAATCATTTAGATATGGATTCCTAATACAAGCATTAATGTATATTTTTAAATTATAATTAAAATTATGTTAGTTTAAATCATGAAAATTTGCTGACCCTGTTAAAATTTAAAAAATGAATATAATTTTTATGATTTTGGTCATACCATTAATTATCAAGTAGATTTTATAATTAATAATTATAAAATCTACTTCCTTTATTTAATAAAATATTAGCTTCAGTAAAGTTTAGATGTTCTATACATTTAAATTGTGTATGATTTAGAGGTCCTAGGGTTTGATGAGCTAAAGTCAAATAATTTCAAAAAATTAAAACTGAAAGCAATGTGTGATCGAATAGGATCAATTCTCACTCTACTAATAGCGCAATGTGGCATTTGTGCTACTAATAATAATTAAGAAATAAAATCATAGATTTTTAATAAAACTTGTATGTTTAACGGTAGAAAGTTCCAGATCCTGAAAGCACTTTTTTCTGTTTTAGAAAAGAAAATACATAAGCCACCTGTACAGCCACACCAACCTTCAAACGTGCCTCAATTTACACCTCTAAATTTGTACCCTTTTCCAACCTACAGTTCTGCCCAGCTACGTCCAAATACAATTTCTGAATTGTCAATACTGAACAGAAATTCAGCCATAATGCGAAGACATTTAATGGCGGACCAACTTTCAAGCATGCATCAACGGCATTCAAACTTACCTCATCTTTCTTCAAATATACCTCATCAAGCTTCAAACATGCCTCATCAAGCTTCAAACGTACCTAGCTTTATTCGGCTAGCACAAAACCTAGTTGACATACCTTCAAGTGCTTCTCAAAGATCAAGCATACCTCTGCAAACTTCAAGCATACCTCAGCGATCTTCCAACATAACTCCACAATATACAAACCTACTTCATCAACCAAACCCTTTTAATGGGCCAACGAATGGATTTTTCTACTAGAAATGAATAACTTTTTTAACTCTTATTATACTTTTAAAAGACGTTATATGCTTTTTTTTAATTGTCAATGATTTATTTTTTTAATGTTATCTAAGATGTTAATAGTTACAGTTGTGTGGATAACCAAGATCTTACTGAGTATTCTTCATAAACTTATTTTTTAGAATGTGAATTTACTTATGAAACTTTTTTATAATAAACAGATAAAAGTTGTGTTTAACATTTGTAGTATGTTTCAATATTTTTAGATTTTTTTTTATTTTTATTCAGGGTTGTTACTAAACAAGAATAATCTAGAAAATACAGGGAAATTAAAAATCATCTGAAAATAACTCAGAATTTTTCCTTACAAACTGGAAATTTTATTTCTTTGCAACTTTTAAAGTATGGCAATCTCTCAAAGAACAATTTGGGGAATATTTAAAGATAATATTTGAGCTGTTTTGTATTTCTTTCAATTTTCCAGCAATTGAAGCTAGTGTAGTTAACCTACTCAAGGTTCTTGCTGTCCAAAAAAAGTGCTAATATTTTTTCCCTACTTTTTTAGGGCCTAAAAAGTGCTAAAATTTCTTCTGAGTGCTAAATATTTTTTATTTTGGGGTTTTGAAAAATTTTTTGAGCGATCGGATTCCTTAAATCGGTTTCCNAAAGTGCTAAAATTTTTTTCCTACTTTTTTAAGGCCTAAAAAGTGCTAAATTTCTTCTGAGTGCTAAATATTTTTTATTTTGGCGTTTTGAAAATTTTTTTGAGCGATCGGATTCCTTAAATTCTGTTGCCTTCAGCTCTCCTGTTGCCTCAATCTTTTTAGAAGATTCTTGGGCTTTGGGGAAAGAAGTTCTTTCTTCTGGGATTTTATGTGCTTTAAAAGTTGTAGAAAGCTACTACTCCTACAATTCTTCCAAAGACACTGGAAAATTATTTAGTACAATGTTTCCAGACAGTTTTGCCTGCTGAACCATAGAAAATTTATTTTTTAAAATTATTTTATTGTATCATTCTAATTGTGACAGTTGTTTCAAACATGCAAAACAATTTGATATTTAAATGCAAAAAAATTGTTGCTTAAAGTTAGCTAAAACTGCTACTGCTTTTTATTCCTCTTTGTGCAATCGCAATTTTGATTGTTTGAATGTTAAAATCTCAACTCTGTGCTGGGTTATGCATGTTACAACAATAACCTGATTGTAGCAGATTTTGTACTATTAAATCCTGCATTCAACGAAACTAAACCAATTTTAAACCAACAGATTATATTGCCAGTCAAAATTTTAACCTGACACATATAAAAAAAATATTACTATTTCACATTTGAGGAATATAACTTAGATTAATATTTTGAAATAAGATTATCTAGGTCAGGGGTGGCGAACCTTTATACACCAACGTGCCATTTTCTCTAAAAAAAAAACTGCTTAATGAGGTAATAGACGTGCATTTAAAGAATTTTGACTTCGTGATTATTGAGAAAATAATAATAGTAAATATTATCAACTCAAAACTCCTTATTTATATTGAAAAAATACATTGTGCAATATCTGTTATACGCGTAATTCAACTTTCAAGTAACATTAGTGTGACTTCTGTTGATGCAGATTAGATGACAAATAACTTATATTAGGTTGTAATATGTTAGTTTAAGCAGGACTGTTAATTTTTTTTAGCTAGTTATTTATTGTTAGCTTGTTTTTTATGGTTATTAATTGTTTTTTTAGCATTAATTTTTAGTTTTTTTTTTGTTAATATTTATTTTTTGTGAATTTTAATTTAATTGTTACACGTGCCTCACAGTGTAACAACAATTGTGATCGGTGGAGTGCCCAAAATATTGTGTCAAGTGCCATAAATGGCACGCGTGCCATTGGTTCGCCATCCCTGATCTAGGTTATTCATTCATGAATCTGTATTTCATTGATTCATATAAGATGAGTGATCTGCACAAGTTATAACAAAACTCTTTATAACAGAAAAATATATATTTAATAATAATGAAGAAGAATATGTTAGTATCTGACTATTAATACTTAACTGCACTGAGCGCCATCTGTGAGAAATATTAGAAATACTCTTAATAAACTTATTTTCCCTGTGATTATTTCTCCTTAGCAATTCATAGAAAAATTTTAATTTACTGGGATAAACGAGGCTATTTTAACCATGTGTGTCTACTATGAAGTTCATATAGCACCTTTTTCATTTGCATAAGTCCTGTTAATTTTAAGAGTTAATGACGTTTCTGTTTTTAAGAAAAATAAACTTAACCAGCTTTGTCCTAAGCAAAAAGTCAGTATTTCAATAATATTAGTGAAGATAGTACTGCGGTGTTTTCACTACAATATCCAACTTATCAGTTTAAAGATTTAGTGAAAACTTTAAGAAATGGCAATCTTTATTTTTTCTGGAGAATAATTTAGAATATGAGCTAATTGTAAGTAATACTATTAAGGTAGATAAAGATATGAGCAGTTACTTGATAAACATCACTGTCATAAAAGTAGATGTAATCAATATATATGATTTAAGAAATTGTGCTAAGGTAGAAAAACCGCGAAGTTTAAAATTTCCCACGTAATCGTTAAATATCAAAAACATTTGATTTTTCACAATATGTCTTCATCTACTAGATAAATTAGTTTTAATGGATTTTTTTTCGTGCACTTACACTTTTTCAATTCTAAGAACGTTTTTGATTGTCCTAGGTTAGTTTTTTAAAAATTATCTTTAAAGCAAACGAGAAAATAAACAGTATTTTTTTTCCTTCAAATCAAAATTTTATTTTTCTGTTTTTTTTTTCTTTCTAAGTGAACCGCATAATTTTAAAAATTTGTCACTTAATTTTTAAAATAACTCCACGCAAAGAGCATTCATTACCAATAGATACAAAATTCGTTAATGTTATATTTACTACTATCATGTTTTTCCAGTTATTTTCACAAAAAATGGATTAAGATAATTTACAGACATTTCTAATTTGGTTTGGAAATTTGTTCAATTTAGTCAGAAAAACCAATTTAAAAATTTTCTTTAAAGATACTAAACAGTTTAGTTTTGAATTATCTTTAGATAAGTTGTAAATCAATCTATAAATTGCGAATTTTTTTGTAATTGTTTTAGCACTAATGATTATTAAATGAAATAAAATATAAATTTGTGCCTAAAATTTTTGTATTATGAATTTAAAAAATATGTGACTAGTAGTACGCATAAAATGAGAGTAAAATTTCAGAAAACTCTCTACCCTATATTATTGTTTTTATATTGTTTACAGTATGACCTGCCTAGGTCGGGATAGCCTGGTTGGTTGGGCGTTGGATTCTTGTTTGAGAAAACGGGAGTTCGAAGAATCCCTTTGTATTAAATGGTGATTGGTGCACGTTAAATCTGTCGGGGTCACAATGTCCTCCTAGTTCCCATAACAAATGAATACCTCTAGTGGTACTGATCGAAGAGTTCCCTTGTCTTCTGGATTGGGTTCAAAGTTACGGAGTTGAACATAGATGGCCGTTGACCCAAATTTGGGTCGACTGTTCAAGGATAAGGTTATAAAAAACGGTATGACCTGCCCCACCATTTAGTTTGTAAATACATTTAGTCTTAGCTGAAAATAACATTCAAAACATTTCAAATCCTCATCCCTCATTTATAACGTGACGTTAATTTCCTTTAATCGATTTATGGCTTACGACTTTTTAGAATAAATAAAGTACAGAAAATTCTTATGAAGTGATAAAACCGCATGTAAATTTAGGTGAAATATCAATAATTAAGGCCCATGCCTAGAATATCAAGCATGTTCCCACTTTGTCTCGTAAATGAGAGAGGAAAGATGCTTCAAGATTCCGTTCCGGTTTTAAACCTCTGACGCAAATGAGGCACCGGTATATTTCATAACCATAAATTATCAACTTCGNGAAGAAATAATATAAACCTCATTAAAGTTTGATTTAACTTCGAAACCTTGTAGTTTTGAACTCAATTCAGAAGACAAGGGAACTCCTGGATCAAGTTTTGGGAGAAATTTTGCCTTCGTGGAGGATGGACGTGACGTAACTAATCCGCATTTGCTTGATATTCAGAGGAAAACCTCTCATAGTTATCCTGATAACCAGGGTACTCTAACCCATAATTCGTCTACCACTGAGGATATTTTACGACAGCACTGTGGTCGATGCGAGCCGGGTACGGAATTCGTATCGACCGACCATAGCTGTGATTCGAACCCGGTTCACCTCATTGGATGGCGAACGCTCTATTTCCTGAGCCACTACGACTCGCAAAAGTACAGTTCATGTTCATAGTTGAACTATATTGTTTGAGAGTTTTTGAATGGTCCTTTAATTTTGAAATTTTCCGTTTGAGTAACCAATGTCGACCTCCCTGTTTATGCCATTTTACACCATAGGACATTTTACTTTGTTTTTATTTCCCTCAAGTCTAACTCCCCATAACCCCTCATTCCTTAAGAGGACGCTTTACCGTGGGAGAAATTTTCCATCGCAATTTTTTTTTTCACTTTCATAAGTAATTTAAATTATAGAAAGAGTGATTTCAAGTGAACCTAGGGTAAGCCGTAAAATTTGAAATACTGAAAAGAATTTTTTTAAATACAATGAAGTTTTCTTCCAAATATCTGTTAGCATTTTGATTTTTTTTCAGAAACTGAAATTGCATAGTTTGTTTTGGGTTCGCCTAGACTCACTTTTTATATACTTCGAATTTTAAATCAGTCATGTAGAGGAAACAGAATTTGCTATGAAAAATTTCTCACGTGATATAGCCTTCTCTTTAAGGAGAAAATTGAGCGCTATCGGCGAAATTTGGCCACAAATAGTCAAGATTTTTATCAAAAATTTCAGCGAAAAAGAGCATAAGCAACTTTTAAATCCAGAGGTGCGATTTATCCGTTATACTGTTCCATATATAATCCTATACTATGTATTTTATGAATGAAAAAAAAATTACAATTTTAAGTTAATTACCTTTAATTAGAAAGATTTAATTATTAAATTTTAATTAATTAATTACAATTTTAATATCTAGATTACATCGTGAGTGAATTTATTGGCATACCCTGTAGAAAATATTCCATTTTTATTATAAAAAAAACATCGAATTGTTTCAATTATATTTATATTTGCTTCATTAGCATAGATTGATAGATAGATTCATCATTATTTATAACATAAGCGTAAGTTAGGGGATTGAAAATCAATGACTCGTCT